CATTTTTTGCAGATTCCGAAGGGGTATGATTTTAGCCTCCCTCGCTCCATACCTCTACCCCACCCCACCAAGAGTATTTCTTCACATATAAAATATACATGGATCAAAGATATCGATGATGCTCACTTGCTAAGTGTAACTGAAGACATAAATAGTAGAAATACAATTGAGTGGTCACCCAAATCAATATCCTTTCCCTCAACTATCCTTTCACTCTTCACTTTTTCTCTCGTGTTAACAAAATTATGTTTGTTATACTTAGTAGATGTTTAAGAATCATAGAATAATTTACACAAAAAAAAAGAACCAGAGAATAATGATTTGAATCACATTGTACTTTATCTTATGGATTAATGGATATTTTAGGATACGATGCTTTGAACCGTATTAAAAATGATTGTATTTTTGTCGACTTCATGATATAGTAGCTGCATTTAGTGTTATAATTAAAAACTTATATGTTATAATTTTATGTATTATACCCAAAAGCCACACATATGGGAATGGGTTTGCAAACCCTTTCCTTGCATGTGTATGAGGCGTGTATGGATTTGGATATTTGAAAGCAGTGATGTGATGGTTTAGTCAAACTCGCCCCAAACACGCCCCATTTTCATCCCTAATCTCCACCCATCTCCCAGTTGGCACCCTCCCATCCTCTCTTTCTCCCAGACGAACTGTCGCTTACCCCGCCGTCCCTCCCTCCCTACCGAAGCCAACCCCCCCCCCCCCCCCCCCCCCCCCCCCCGAATTCGGAGGCTAGCTCAACAAAGTCATAGTCATGGCAATATAACCAAGCGGGCCTTCTTCTGGCTCCTCCTCACCGCGATTGAGGTTAGCTGTGATAGAGATGTTGAGTTGTTTCTCGAACATTTCTCGAAGAAGCCTCGGTGAAGGCGTTCGAGAAGATTCTTCAATGTGAAGAGAGTAGGGCATCGGCTCTCTAGAAGTCGGGTTTTTTTATCAATTTGAGTTATATATACGAAACATATGAAATTTGTGGCATAATCAGCAAAATAAATGTTATTGTTGGTTGGAATTATTGTTAGTAACATACTAACAACATATTAACACTCTAAAACGGTCTTTCATATTTTTGGTGAAGCCTGACAATCAAGTCCAATTCGATAGCTCGGATATGTCTCGCTCTAATTCTATTTTTTTATGGAGAGATGAATGTTATTTATCGATATTATGAAGAGAAAATTTTATCAAGGATTTTTTAACAAGGAAAAACATTAGCATTTTTCTCGTTATCATAATTGTTAAATTATTAAGTATTTAATTTTCATGGTTCAAAAAAATTTAGAAAAAAATGGGAAAATCTAAATCTCTCACGCTCGGACAACCCGTACCAGAGGTTGTATCTAAAAAGTCAGTTATGGGATATTTTATATTGAAATCGTAATTTAATTATGGTTCAATGTTTCATATCGATAAATACAGCATATAGATTTCACTTTCGATAGTAAGTTTTTTTTTATCTCACCGCGCAAATAGAATAAAATTTTTCAATCTTAGAAGAAATTTCCCAAATAGGCGGGGCCCACGATGACATCAGTATATCACCCACCCGCGCCGATTTGGGCGTATTTTTCTTAGGGCATTTTCATAACTTTTGCACGTTTTTTAAAACCATGTTTCTTGAATTTTGAAGACTTATGATCGTGTATTTGGCCTGAGGCTATTCTTCACTATGATTAAGTCTTTTAAGTACTGATTTGGGAAAATTTTCTCCGGTCCATGTTTGGCAGATTCCGAAGGGGTATGATTTTAGCCTCCCTCACTCCATACCCCTACCCCGCCCCACCAAGAATATTTCTTCACATATAAAATATACATGGATCAAAGATATCAATGATGGTCACTTGCAAAGTGTAACTGAAGACATAAATAGTAGAAATACAATTGAGTGGTCACCCAAATCAATATCCTTTCCATCAACTCTCCTTTCACTCTTCACTTTTTCTCTCGTGTTAACAAAATTATGTTTGTTATACTTAGTAGATGTATAAGAATCAGAGAATAATTTACACACACAAAAAAAAGAACCAGAGAATAATGATTTGAATCACATTGTACTTTATCTTATGGATCAATGGATATTTTAGGATACGATGCTTCGAACCGTATTAAGAATAATTGTATTTTTGTCAACTTCATGATATAGTAGCTGCATTTAGTGTTATAATTAAAAATTTATATGTTAAATTTTATGTATTATAATGTTGGAGGTACGGGGCGGGTACCCACGAATACCCGAAAGCCACACATATGGGAATGGGTTTGCAAACCCTTTCCTTGCATGTGTATGAAAGTATGAGGCGTGTATGGATTTGGATATTTGCAAGCAGTGATGGGATGGTTTAGTCAAACCCGCCCCAAACACACTCAATTTCCAACCCTAATCCCCACCCCTCTCCCAGTTGGCTCCCTCCCACCCTCTCTTTCTCCCAGACGAACTGTCGGCTTACCCCGCCGTCCCTCCCTCCCTACCGAAGCCAACCCCCCCACCCTCACCACCGAATTCGGAGGCTGGCTCAACAAAGTCACAGTCATGGCATCATAACCAAGCAGGCCTTCTTCTGACTCCTCCTCATAGCGATTGAGGTTAGCCGTTATGGAGATGTTGAGTTATTTCTCGAACATTTCTCGAAGAAGCCTCGGTGAAGGAGTTCGAGAAGATTCTTCAATGTGATGAGAGTAGGGCATCGGCTCTCTAGAAGTCGGGGTTTTTTTATCAATTTTAGTTATATATACGAAACATATGAAATTTGTGGCATATCTTATTCTGCGTCGCATGTAATATTTCAAGTGACTTTAAAAAATCCGTATTAATTATGGTCAACTCGTTAAACATAAAAATCAGCAAAATAAAGGTTATTGTTGGTTGGAATTATTGTTAGTAACATACTAACAACATATTCCCTATGTTTGGCCCAGCTTTTAGAAGTGCTTTTCGGCTTCAAAAGCTGAAGCAGGGCCAAACACCTGTAAAAGCTCGGCTTTTGAAAAGCCGAAAATCGCTTTTGTATAACATAAAAGCAGAAGCTCCAATTTGGAGTTTCTGCGAAAAGCTGTTTTGAAAATACAAGATTATCCTTACCATATTTTAATTTTATTTCTGAAAATATAATTTTCCTTCATTTATATCATTTTAAAAATAAAATAAATTATAAAATCATATTATTTAATATAAAAGAAATCTAACAAGATCCATTTTGACTACTTTATATTGTTTAGAATTTTTATTCATATTTTATATTATAAGTCCTTTGTAGTCATTTTACACAATCTTTCATATTAAAAAACACTTCTAATAATTTTACTGCCAAACACTCAACTGCTTTTTTTGAAAAGTACTATCTAAAAGCTCCAGCCAGAAGCTGCTTCTGCAAAAGCTACAGCAGGGCCAAACTAAGCTATTAACACTCTAAAATAGCCTTTCATATTTTTGGTGAAGCCCGACAATCAAGTCCAATTTGATAGCTCGGATATGTCTCGCTCTAATTCTATTTTTTTATGGAGAGATGAATGTTATTTATCGATATTATGAAGAGAAAAATTTATCAAGGATTTTTTAACAAGAAAAAACATTAGCATTTTTCTCGTTATAATAATTTTTAAATTATTAAGTATTTAATTTTCATGGTTCCAAAAAAATTTAGAAAAAATGGGAAAATCTAAATCTCTCACGCCCGAACAACCCGTATTAGAGGTTGTATCTAAAAAGTTAGTTGTAGAATATTTTATATTGAAATCGTGATTTAACCATGGTTCAACGTTTCATATCGATAAATACAACATATAGATTTCACTTTCGATAGTAAGTTTTTCTGATTTAACGTGGCAAATACTAGGGGTGTTCAAACGGTTTGGTTACCATGGTAACCGTTTTAACCGGTACTATTTGGATAATTTGGTTTGGTTAATTTGGATAATTGGTTTGGTTTGGTTAAAGTTTTTAGCTTGTTTGGTTTAGGTGGTTTGGTTTGGTTTCAGACACTCCTAACCAGTCAAACCAAATTAACCAGTTAAGTAATTAGTCATATATCTAACATATATTATATACACATACTTAATACTTTGCATAACAACTCAAGAGTTAACGTTCATCCCTTTTAGACTCATAAAATATAAAGCTCAATATTGCTCATATAGTGTATATGTAAAATGTAGACCACAACATATGGACGCCTAATTTAGATAAATTTCATACATTATGATGGATGAAAACTTGAAAGGAAGGTCATTTCCAGCCTATGATAATTGCTAAGAGACTAAGTCAATTTACACAAACACAACAATTCATTAACCCATACCATTGTCATAAATTTTTGTTAGGTGAATACTTCTATGCTAATCGTAAGATAATTGTCTTAGTTGCATGTATTTTTGTTAAGGGTCAACTATAACTACGTGTTGATTGTTATGTTTTATTCATTATATAAATTGCGAATTGTTGCATTAACCGGAAAAATTTCATCGTCAATGATAATGTGATTTTATATTGGTCAATCTGGTTAACCAATTAACCAAACCGATTAAACTTTAGTTTGGTTAATTTGATTGTTGTATTAGTTTGAACGGTTTGGTTATGATATTGTATTCCATGGTTAATGAAATTTAGCCTTATCTAATTTGGTTATAACCATGGTAACCATTTGAACACCCCTAACAAATACAATACAATTTTTCAATCTTGAAGAAATTTCCCAAATAGGCGGGGGCCACGATCACATCAGTATATCACCCACCCGCGCGAGAATCGTAATGGGTAAGGATAAACACAGGCAGAAGATCATGAGATGCTTACGCTACATAGCATTCATTAGTCGGAGAGAGAAGAAGAAAATAGCTAATCACAACGCGGTGGTTCCGTTTTTTGACGCGTATCTCTCTGATTCGTCTCCATCCTATATAATCTTTGATCCGTCTCCATACTAACTAGAAAAGAGGAAGACGGTTGCTTTTCAGATTTTTTCCCCAATCAATCTCTGGTACGAACTCCTCCCTCGATCAAAGATTTACTATGGTTCTCTGTTCTCATTTCCTTTCGGTTTATTGCTTGTTCCGTGCTTAGCTTCTCCGATGTTCCCATTTCCTGCTGAAATCCAATTAATCTTTTCTGGGTTCCATTGAATGTGGGTGACCAGTTAAAACTTTCGTCGAATTTGACCGATCAATCGGTGTGTAATTGGTGGTGATCTTTCATTGTCTTTGTGGGGTTTGATGGCAATTAGGTATTGTCTTTCCTTTAAAAAGAAGAACAACACTTTGATCGATCTATCTTGCTATCTCGTGATTCCTTGACTTGATCAAGGTTTTCCTTTAAATTGCTCTGTATACACCGAGGCTGCTAAGTGATAATCGTGAGTTCTGGAAATCAATTCGCTTCTGGGTAGTCAAGGTTTTCATTTCAGTTTCACCCATCTGGGTTCCATGTATGGACACAGTTTTTCTGTGGATGGAATGGAATCGATTTGCCTGAATCTTATGGAATTCGGTCTTCTGTTCTAGGTTTTCTGAATTGAAGTGGGTCCTGAAGCAATGGGAGGTGGCAACGGCAATGATCATGACTCTACCGACAAGGGCCTGTTTTCGCACCTAGGTGCATTCGCAGCTGGCTCGCATTACCCTCAGCATGGAGGAGGGTATCCTCCACAAGGGTACCCGCCACAGGGGTACCCTCAGTACCCTCCTCCACATGGCTATCCACAGCCACCCCACGGAGGCTATCCTCCCCACGGAGGGTACCCTCCAGCAGGCTACCCTCCCCCCGGCGGATACCCTCCTCCTCACGGTGGCTATCCTTCGCACGGAGGACATGGTGGTTACCCTCCTGCTGGTTATCCTGGTCACTCCAGTCATTCCGGTATGATCCTTGCCCTGATTAGGACTTAGAACCCTCTTTAATTGAATACTGAAATATACCAACATCGATGTCTGCAATCGTTTTCTGTATTTGATGATCTCGTGAAATCATGATTTGGCAGGGCATGGTGGCGGAATGGGAGGATTGCTAGCAGGAGGAGCGGCTGCTGCAGCTGCTGCATATGGAGCTCATCATATTGCTCATAGCTCTCATGGATATGGAGGGTATGGTCATGGATACGGAGGGTATGGTCATCATGGCAAGTTCAAGCATGGCAAGTTCAAGCACGGGAAGTTTGGCAAGCATGGGATGTTTGGAAAGCACAAGGGTGGGAAGCACTTCAAGAGGTGGAAGTAAAGAAATTCATATAATACTTTGCCCCCCACATTAAGAATTCAGACGATTTCGTTTCACCTCGTATTACTGATCAGTGTGGCTTTTATAGTTATATCTAACTGCCTTAAGATTCATGGTCTGTAAGACTGTAACTTTGTTATCATGTCTTCGTGGGGTTTGTGCTTGTGATTTTAGCCAGAGGTGTGTATCAAAGATTCTGAAATGCTTGGGTTTGTATACAGGGTTTTCTGTGTAAGAACGTGTTGTTCCCTGGCTCGCTAAATAAGATCTTGCTAAATTCAGTTGCATTCCTTTCGTCTTGTGGATAGGTTTAGAGAGAAGACCTAGTGCACAGGATTTTACGAACATCATTCAGCAGCCTGAAAGCAGCTGTTGACACTGTTTCGTAACCTGAAAGCAGGTGTCTTCATATCCTGACAGGGATTTCTCTCCTTTAAGCCTTTTCTTCGTCAACAATTCCCATTATTAGTGAATTTACTAAAAATGGAATCATCTCTCTGGGAATGAATTGGCGTACGCAACCTGCCACTTTGGGTCTTTGTTGAGATTCTGAAAAGATGGGATAATAGTTGCAAGATGGTGACTTTAGGAGCAGGAACGATCATCACAGAATTCATTGGCAAAGAATCGAAAATGCATCAAAACATAATAAGATCTGCAACTTTTGGTCTTTGTTGAGATTCTGAGAAGATTGCCCAACAGTTGCAACATGGTCACTTTAATCGAAAATGCATCAAAACATAATAAAATCTGCAACTTTTGGTCTTTGTTGAGATTCTGAGAAGATTGCCTAAGCCAGTAAGCCACAATGAGAACTGGAAAATTAAAAACGTGGACGGCAGGATTCGAACCTGCGCGGGCAAAGCCCACATGATTTCTAGTCATGCCCGATAACCACTCCGGCACGTCCACAATTTGATATTTATGATTAATTTTAAAATTATAATAACCGTTTCTTAATTTATTATAATAACTAACCATCATATATGCTTAACAATATTAGAATATAAGCACTGAATAAATTTTATTTACAAACTTTATCCCATTTAATAATTATATATAATATTAAAATTATTTTTATACATAAATATTAAAATTATATTCTTAATTTGATCTTTTCTAATAAATTTATACTCATAATTATCATTATTCAAAAACCACGCATATTTTATTATTATTAACCAAATCATCCTGCCAACTAGGGCTGGCTATTTGGACCGGGACCGGATAAAAAACCGGAAACCGAACCGTATAACCCGGACCGAGACCGGACCGAGACCGGATAGTAAACAATCCAATCCAATGTTTGGGCTTAGATTTGAGGTAAAAAACCGGATAAAGACCGGATAAGTGAGCTCAACACCCAAAACTTAGGGTAATTTGCATAAACGGTCACAAACCTTTACACTTAGTACAAAACTTAACCAACTCCTCACTCTTTTAGGCCTTAGGCCACTCAAATTCCCACAATCTCAATATAAAATCAAGACCGAATTGGGACCGGACCGGGTCAAGACCGGACCGGATCAAGACCGGACTGTATCCAATCCAATCTTCGGTCCTTATATTCTAAAAAAAACGGGACTGGACCGGATCAATTCGGGCCAATTTAACCGGACCGGACCGTATAGCCACCCCTACTGCCAACTTTTTCTTTGCTACTAAAACATATTTTACATATCGCCGATTGAACTTCTTTTTCGATGCGAGAGAAATTCGTCAAATACGACAAATCTCGACTTCGTTAAATATCTAACAAAATTGTAGGTGCAATTTAGTTGAGCAAACAAAGATAACAACACATAAATAACGCCTGTCAAAATTTGAACCATAACCTCCTGAATCCAACCTAGATCTTTATTTAAACCCAATCAAATACAAAAAAAAAAAATTACCACTACCTTTTATTTCTAAAAAGTGTTTCCTACAACGAAACAACAAAGCCATATATCAAGTCTCATTCACAAATCCAAAGGCTCAACCAAGAGACTCATGGCAAGGTCTCGTGGCTTGCACATTACGTTCAAGGGCTCAACTCTAGGCAGAGTGAGTCCCAACCCCTCGGTCATATCCACCGCTCCCATACCAATCCTCTCCCACTCGAACCCTTGAACCAAACATCCCAAGACCAACCCCATCACTCGGTTCGCCACCGCGACACCCGGACATCCTCGCCTCCCCAGACCGAACGGAAACGACTTACAACATCCTTCTCCTCCTCCCCCGACGACGACGTTTCGGAACCCTTCTTCAAATCTCTCGGGAACAAACTCCGTCGGATTCTCCCACGCCTCCGGATCTCTGTGAATCGCCCACGCGTTCACCATCAGGATCGTCCCTTTGCGGACGTCGTACCCTCCCACGCTGCAGTCCTCCGACGCTTGGTGCACGCCTAGAAGCGGAGCGGGCGGGTAGAGACGAAGAGTCTCGTCGATCACGTGATTCAAATACGCGAGATTCGACAGATCCAGCTCGCTGACGAGCCTCTCTTGCCCGACTTTACTAGCAATTTCTGCTCCTAGTTTGGTCATCACTTCCGGATGGTTCAGTAACAGAGCCATCGCCCATTCTATTGCTGTGGCAACCGTGTCTGTGCCCCCAATTAGAATTACCTGCCAACCAAATCGTTTCCTCAATTTCAAGTTTAGTTATTGCGTCGAATAATGGCGGGAAAATTTCTTACCAGAATAATCCCCTTGAGTATCTGGTCCGTCAGAAACTCTGGCTCCTCCCTCTGCAAATTCAACAGATCCTCAATTATCACCGCCTCCTCCTCCTTCTCTTCCCCGAGCTTCCGGCGATTCTCGTCGACGAGACCCTGCAAAAACTTGTCCATCTTCTCCCTCAGGGCAGCCATCCGTTTCTCCGTTCGGAACAGATCGACCCGCTGCAGAATCGGCAGGAAATCGATCAAGTTCTTTCCGCACAAGTAAACAATATCCCTCATCACTTGCTTGAACTCGTTGGCCTCCGAATCGCTTGCGTCGTCGCCGTCTCCCCTGCCGCCGCCGTAGTATCGTTTCCCCAGCACGGCCATCGTCATCGTGTTGAAAGTCGCCTCGCGGATTTGCGATTTCAGCTCGACGACGTTTCCCCTGTAACCCCATCAGTACGGTTAAAATCTCAGATTTTACTTCTGACTACATTTGAGGGTGAAAGCGCGATTCTAAATAGAAGCGTTAAATTTGTGAAAATTTATGCTTTTTGAAATTTTTAAAGTGCAGTTTTTAACTTACATTGAACCCCACCGCGCGATTCGCTCGACCAGGGAGCGAGTTTCGGCCTCCCTGACGGCGGCGAACCTGGCCAGGCTCGCCGTGGAGAAGAGCGCGTTGTTGAGGATGCGCCTGAGGTTGCGCCAGTGGTCACCGTAGGGGGCGACGAAGACGGTCGTGAAGTCGTAGTGGAAGTACTTGCCGGCCAGGAGTTGGGGACGGCCGGCGAACGCCAGGTCGTGGCGGGTGAAGCATTCCTCGACGGCGGCAGGGGTGGAGACAAGGAGGACCCGGCGGGACCCGAGGCGGAGGGAGAGGATTTTGCCGTATTTGGCCGAGAGGGATTGGAGAGTGCGGTGGATTGGCTGCCGGATCAGATGGAGGTGGCCGAGAATTGGAATCGCCGGCGGGCTCGGCGGCGGGTTGAATTGTTTCGGGTTCGGGTTGGGGATCAAGGAGTTTACCAGTAAGGGAAAAGCGCAGATTATGAGCAGGAGTGTTAGGAAAAGTAAGAAGGAGAATTCCATGATCGTTTTTTTTTTTTTTTTTTGTTTTGTTCTTCTGTAAATAGATTGTTTTATGTAAGTGTGTCTGGGTGACTGATTCTGGGAGAGGAATTTATAAGAGTTTCAGTAAATTGACGAGGTCACGAGTGGCGGCGGCTGATAAGAGTTGGGACTCCCTCTTAACGACGTCAATTCATTTAGTTTCTCTAAAATTTTCATGGTCGCGAATTTGAATCTTGACGATGTTGAGACTCCAGCCGTATAATTTCATAACTTATTCAAGAGAAAGCAACAAACTTATATATGCAAGCTTGTCAGGATTTTGGGATTCAAACTTATTGATGCTGTAAAGAGTGTGAGTGACCAAGTCGTTGCCCCTTGCCCGTAGTTGTTCATAGTACATGGAAACAGATATGTTCATAGAATTTAGTACATGCATGGACTCGGCTTGTTGAATCTACATCTACACAATAAATAAAAGCCAAATGAGAAAACTTGAAGCCCCATTTCAAATTTCCTGCATCCAGAGTGAAAGTAGGAAGGACATTTTGGTCTTCACAATTACTTTTTTTTATTCATTAAAAAGACACTTACTAGGATTCGAACCATGACCATTTTAAAGAAAAAGAAAGATCATAACCAATCACACTAAGTACATTTGTTGTATCTTTTTAAATTAAAAACATATAATTGCAGAGAGGAAAAAACCCTTCCCCCATTTCAAATTCCCTACTCCAGGAGCGTTTGTAGGAACAGTAGAGTAGGGAGTGTCAATTTTTTTCTTTTTCCTCTGTGGAACGGGCCAACTTACCGTACACATGCGGATTTAAACGGGTCCAGGAGTGTCAAATTTTTTTTTTAAGTCCTTTTATTTCTCCGTAGTGGTAAAATATATATATGAAAAGAAAAAAACAATACTCATTTTTATTGCTAAAAATAAAAAAAAATAACAATAAACTAATGCATGGATTCTAATGGGCTAACCGCTAATCATAAAATAAAAGAGTTGAATGGGTCTGACCTACACGGGATTTGCCCATCAAGTAAAACAAATGAACATCATGGGTTTGCCATTCTAAAACAAACTATTTTCTCTAGCATAATATATATTATGCTATTATTTTATATCTTAGTGGCTAAAATATAATGTATTTTAAAGTTATTCAATGGTACAACCTCGACCAACTCAATTAGTCCAATTTTTATCATTTCAAATATATATTATGTAATTATTTGATATCATAATGATTAAATTATAGTGTATATTATAGGGAATGGTTTGGTATTTGTTAGTTAAAAACTAAACAGAAAGATCTATTTGGTTATTTTTAACATTAAAACAATCCTAAACATTTTCAGTTTCCTTTCGAAATTCTATAGTTTTATTCCCGAATCAGTGATTTGCAAATGGTGAATTGCAGTCATCTCTTTTCTTTCATTATATTTTATTTTCAAATATAAAGTTTAAAAGTAAAGAATAATTAGAGTTTGGCATGAGTCGGTCAAACAGGCTGAATTTCAAAATTTTGCCCCTTTTGATCAAGTCTAATTTATAATCACATGGTTCCCTGATACCCTATAAAAATCTCAACCCAAACCAGTTTGGCATGTGAGTTCGTGTTTACCACCATTTTCTAGGGATACAGGAAAGTTGGTTCCTATCCCAAATCGTGTTGTTCATTCTTGATTTCTTTAGATTTTATCATGGCTTGGCAAAAAACCAGAAAGCACAATGATGAGAAGATGAAAGTTTTATAAAGCAAATTAATCGGCCAACGGGCCGAGTAAAAGCTAGCAACGATTGTGAGATGCTCATTTCCCGAAAACCAGCGGGATAGGCGATTTTTTATTCGATTTTCTGGAATTCGGTTTCTATAAAACTTACTCCACCTCATCATATTACCAGAAACAATATTGTTTCACAAGGTAACAGGTACTTGATTTTGGTTCATATGGCTGATTTTTGATTCGTTGCATCATTCATGTCTCTTTTCTACTAAAATTCACTATTTTTATCACGTGTTTCCCAAAAAAAAAACTATACAACAATAAGCTATACACCCCATTACATTATCAAATTTCATACCTCATCTTCGTCCGGCCAAATGGCCGGGGCCCACGCTAGTTGAAGTATTGAACCACTGATCCACAGTTCCTTTCGTGACGACGTTTTTGTCTAGCAGATGGGCATTTTCTTCCTCTTATTTTGACAGCTTATGAACTGCAAGATTATTACTCTGAGGGAAAAAAAATTAGCGAATCGAGCAGTCTATCAACTTTAATTAGATTGTAGTGATGAAAAACTTTGTATCAGGGAATGCGAAGGATTTTCGCGCTCTGTTCCATTCGAATCTCCAACGGCTCTGAACAGAGACGTTGTCTTCACAGGGAAGAAGAAGCAGAACTCCCACGACATCGTTTCACCATCAGTTGGAGCCGGGAATCAGAGCGACATCGTTTCATCATCGTCTGGAAAACAGAAGCAATGCTACGCCGTCCCAATGACAGCTCAAGTGAAAATACAACGCACGTGGAGTGACGTCGTTTATGGCAAAATGCCACTTAGTCCTCAAACTTGTTAAAACCATCTCTTTTCCTTTTTCGGTTGTACTTGCTTTACTTCCAAACCTTGTTTTCTTACCTTGTTTTGTAAGGTTTCTGTACTGATTCACTAGCTATATAAGCTGTGAAATGCAATGAGAAAAGCAGGGCTTTAGGGTTTGCTTGATCCACAACGTTGTTATGGTATCAAAGCCTGGTTCCTAGAGAACCCTAGCAGCCTCAAACCATGGCAGACAACGTTCAAGCAGCTGCAGCCGAGAACGTTCAAGTCAATGTCGATCCTATGTCAGATCCTTACTACCTACATGGATCTGAGCAACCAGGGTTGCTGTTGGTGGGAGAGAAACTTACCACTGCCAACTACAACGACTGGAGCCAGGCTATGTTGAATGCTTTGGAAGCCGAGAACAAGTTTGGATTCATCAATGGCACCATTCCTCACCCAGGAGATCACATCAGAATGCCTGGGCTTGGAACAGAAACAATGTTATGGTGCTGTCATGGATCCAGCAGGCAGTTGATCCCAATGTTATGGTGTTGTCATGGATCCAGCAGGCAGTTGATCCCATCATCAGGAAGACCATCATGTCTTGCAAAACTTCCCTTGAAGCCTGGAGAAGCCTCAGATCTAAGTATGGTCAAGAAGATGTGGTAAGAATTGCTGAACTCACTGAAGCTTTAAGCAGTTTGAAGCAAGGTAGTCAGTCTGTTACAGAGTACTATGGAAATCTAATTGCTATCAGAGATGAATTAGATAATTATCAACCACTGCAACACTGTACCTGTACACCCAACAGTCGAGAAACATGTGTGGCCATGAGGGTTGTGTTTTCTTACAAGGAAACTAACTATGTTATCCAGTTTCTAAGAGGTCTTAATGAAAAATTTTCAAGTGTGAGGTCCCAAGTCCTGTTTGGTGATGAGTTACCACCCATTGATAGAGTGTTTCAAAGGATGCTCCAGCATGAGAGACAACAGGTTGGCACACAACAAAGTAAAGTTCTTGCTGCTGAGAGTGTGGCTTTAGCAGCACAGAACAACAACAACAATTCACAGATCAGGAGGCCTCGACCTTACTGCACCTATTGCAAGTTTTTTGGACACACAGAAGAAACCTGCTATCACAAGCATGGTTGGCCACCTGGAATGAACAACAGAACACCAAATCCTACTGGAAGGAACATGGAGTGCACCTTCTGCAAGAAAGTAGGGCACAATGAAGACAAGTGCTTCAGTAAACATTGTTATCCAAACCAAAGAGGACCTCAAAGAGCCAGACCTCAACCACATGCTGCTGCAAACACAAACTCAAAGGATTTGACTTAAGAGATCAAACTGACCAAGGAAGACTACATCAAACTTATGTCCCTAATGAGTGACAAGGGATCTCAGAAGGCATCCACCAGCAACAGTCCATCTTTTTCAGCTGCAAGTTTCATTACCACACCAGCTGGACCCTCGGGTAAAATTCTGCTCAATGTGAGCCATAAATCACCTCATGATCAGACCTGGATCCTTGACATTGGTGCCTCGGATCACATTGTGTGTTCCTTAGACATCTTGACTGACCACAAAAGGATACACAATACATTTATCACATTGCCTACAGGAGATCAAATTCAAGCAACTCATATGGGGACAGTTACCTGTATTGCTGACTTGACTCTACAGGGAGTCTTGTTTGTTCCACAGTTTAGCTTCAATTTGGTCTCTGATAGCAAGCTAACCAGGAACAAATCCCTTTGTTTGACTTTTTTCTCTGATGTCTGCTTGATCCAGGATATGCAGCTGAGGAGGATGACTGATTCTGCTAAGCTGTCCCATGGCCTTTACCACTTAGAGCAACCTGTAGATACCAATCCACCTAAACATTTCTCTGCTGCCACTTCTCAAGATTTTGATGTTTGGCACTTTAGATTAGGTCATGTTTCACATTCTAAAGTGCCACTTTTGAAAAACCTTTGTCCAGATATAGATACCAATAGTTCTATACCCTGTGATATTTGTCATTTTGCTAGGCAGAAGAGATTACCATTTCCCTCAAGCACTTCTGTTGCTCAACAGTCTTTTGAACTGATTCATGTTGACATCTGGGGTCCAAACCCTATACCCAGTTATGATGGATTCAAGTATTTTTTAACCATCGTTGATGATTTTACTCGAATGACTTGGTTGATTTTACTTCCAGCCAAATCAGATGCCAGACCAAAGCTTCAAGCTTTCTGTTCTTATGTTGAAAGACAGTTTCAAACAACTGTTAAGAAAATCAGAAGTGATCAAGGTAGAGAATTTGAAATGACTGAGTTTTTCAATAGAACTGGCATTCCTCATGAGCTGTCTTGTGTTGAGACACCTCAACAGAATAGCAGAGTAGAAAGAAAACACCAGCATATCCTTGCTGTTGTCAGGGCACTCAAATTTCAAGCTAACCTATCCCCTTCTTTCTGGAGTGATTGTGT